TGTATAGCATGGGGACCACAGTATTGCATACTTGAAATCTGCAGAGTAGATCGTCAGTATTCTTACATCACATGCCTGAAGAATTACGTGAGGTGAGAGATGTTAATTAGCCCGATGGTGGCACTCATTTCACGTCCACATACACCGAGATATCTTAAATACACAGAATTTTAATTTATAAATCATACTTCAATAAAGATGGGGGGTAAATCCTGAATCTTCCATTTCCCATGCAACACTAAGCAGGTTTCTTAAGCTGTGAAAGGGGAACGACTCCTGTAGGAGAGTCTAAGGAGTGAACTGACTCCATTCTAGAGACCAGAAGTGTTTCTGTCCTCCTTTATGTGTGTTAGTAAACGTCAAAAAGCACAATGAGGTGCAGAGGTAGAGGGAACCGTCCTGGTTTGGGGGGGGGGGGGCGGTGCTCATTCTAACCTCAGAGGCTAGATCTACCCTTCCTGAGGAGCTAACAAATGCCACTAATGCTAACCCAAGTTGGGTCTCTATACTTGCTACTGGGGTCCTAACTAGAGGAAACTTTTGAAAACTAGCATAGGGCTCTATAAAAATGGTAACTGATGTAACTGGTTTATAAAACAGTCCTCTAAGACCACAAAGTTTTCCTCTTCAAGTGCTGAGTACGGAGAGCAAGTATATGCACAATGTGAACACTGTCCAGAGGTCATGAATGAAGCTTTTTTTTTTCAAGATTTTATTTATTTGACAGAGAGAGAGCACGAGCAGGGGGAGCAGCAGAGGGAGAGGGAGAAGCAGGCTCCCCACTGAGCAGGGATTCCCAACGTGGGGCTCTATTCCAGGACCCTGGGATCATGACCTGAGCCGAAGGCAGACGCTTAACCAACTGAGCCACCCAGGCGCCCCTGAATGAAGCTGTTTAACCTGTCCAGGGACTTGTCTTGCATGCTACTCTGGGTCAACGGAGACAGGTTCTGGTTTTAGAACTTCAAACTTACCCACTCTACCGAGGTACAAACTAAAAAGGCCAGCTCGGTTCATTCTCATCTACTTCCTTAGGCAACAAAGGAAAGCCAGGGCTACATGGATTTAAGATCTCAGTGAAGTTCCAGTGGGATCTGGTTGTTCTCCCTGAAGAAGCAGATCACATGCGGGCACATTCCACATGGAGGTACTGCTCAACACCAGGTCCATCTTTTTCAGATCAAGCTCCAGCTTAACCACAGCCTCTCTCAAACCGTTTCTTCTCCCGCCATTCCCCCACCCATAACTTCTATACCCTATGACTACAGAGTATTTGACTCCTCTGTCAATAGCAGTGGAAATTAAGAAAGGATTTAACACCTCTGCAATGCCTCCTGGACTATTTCTAGAACACAGTTGTTATCTAGCCGTTAAAAGTGAAGGAAAAAGGGGCACCTGGGTGGCTCAGTCGTTAAGCGTCTGCCTTCGCCTCAGGTCATGATCCTGGGTTCCTGGGATCGAGCCCCGCATCGGGCTCCCTGCTCGTGGGAAGCCTGCTTCTCCCTCTCCCACTCCCCCTGCTTGTGTTCCTTCTCTGTGTCTGTCAAATAAATAAAAATATCTTAAAAAAAAAAGTGAAGGAAAAAAATTAATAAAATGTCCCAGAGACCCTGTATCTAAAAAAAACCCTGAATCTATTTGATTCGCCCAAAGACACAAATATGAAATAAGAATTTTAAAACACAACTAAAATACTTAGGGAATGTATTTTCTGTTTAATTGATGTGTCTAGTTGATGGGCTGTTTACAGAAAAAAACATTTAAATGGACTGGCCTATCTTGAACATAAGGTCTGATAACTGATGGTCTTCACGCTTCAGAGCATTAGAATGAGTACCAGGTGTTCTTAATAATCACATTCTACCACGGATTAGCTGGCTTTTTAAATTACACATCTCAATTTTTTTTTAAAGATTTTATTTATTCATTTGAGAGAGATAGCGACAAAGAGCACAAGCAGAGGGAGGGACAGAGGGAAAGGGAGACCTGGGAGCCTGCCATAGGGCTTGATCCCAGGACCTGGAGATCATGACCTGAGCTGAAGGCAGACGCTTACCATCTGAGCCACCTAGGCGCCCCTACACATCTCATTTTAACAGAGTGCTAAAGTACATCACCTGTGACATTAACATGGCTGCTATAATAAACATTTCCTGTTTATGTTTTCCATACCACCATTGAGTGTTGCTGTGTCACATTCACAGCAGGGCCCCAGCACCAGTGGTACCACCAAAAACCTGGAGACTTGTTAGAAGCACTAACATGAGGCACCTGGCTGGCTCAGTCAGTGGAGCATGTGACTCTTGCTCTCGGGGTCCTGAGGTAGAGCCAAACACTGGGGGGTAGGGTTCACTTAAAAGAAAGTAAAAACAGGGCGCCTGGGTGGCTCAGTTGGTTAGACGACTGCCTTCGGCTCAGGTCATGATCCTGGAGTCCCGGGATCGAGTCCCACTCCCTGCTCGGCAGGGAGTCTGCTTTTCCCTCTGACCCTCTTCCCTCTCGTGCTCTCTATCTCATTCTCTCTCAAATAAATAAAATCTTAAAAAAAGAAAGTAAAAACAATTTGGGGGTCCTGGGTGGCTTAGTTTGCTAAACATCCGACTCTGGATTTGGGTTCAGGTCATGATCTCAGGGTCATGAGACGGAGCCCCATGTTGGGCATGGAGTCAGCTTGAGATTCTCTGCCTCTGCCCCCTCCCCTGGCTCACGCTCTCTCTCAAAAAAATATATTTTGATTAGGGTCGCCTGGGTGGCTCAGTTGTTAAGCGTCTACCTTCAGCTCAGGTCAGGATCCCAAGGTCCTGGGACAGAGTCCCACATCGGGCTCCCTACTCAGCAGGAAGCCCGCTTCTCCCTCTCCCACTCCCCCTGCTTGTGTTCCTGCTCTCGCTGTGTCTCTGTCAAATAAATAAAATCTTTAAAATAAATAAATATATTTTGATTTAAAAAAATACTGATAATATGCTCCTGGCTCAGGTCTACTGCCCAGCGGTGTTAACACTCCTTCCAGGCACCTGTTCCAGTTGGGAACCCACTATTACACAGAACCCTCATCTACTGACAGGAAAAGCACGGGTTCTTCACCTGGGAGCTGTGAATCTTCTCAAGTCAAAAGCAAATGTGTTTTCTCCTGGGGAAGCTGCACAACTGTCAACATTTCCAATGGATATTAACCAAGAAACAGGTACCACCACTGTGAATCAAATTGAGAATTCACTTCTGCAAATATACACCGAACGAAAATTTTCTCCAAGCCCTTTAATATTTACTTAAACAAGTTGAGGCACAAGCAATAATAAAACTGCATTTTTTTTTATGTTACGAGAAAGAAAATTTTGTATAACACCTGCATGGTATACTAATTTTCTAAAAACTTTGTGTAATATTTCATTAATACTCTGGTCCATAAGTTGGTTCAACAAGGTCAGAAAAGCAAGCAGAAAGATGGTAAAAAATATCAACCTTATGGAGGGTTAAGAGGACTCAAACATTTGCTAACTGCCTACTATACCCACTGTACTAGGTTTTATGTACATAAACTCAATGTGAATGTAAATTCTAGTTATTAACAGGACAGCACGGACACTGCCAGGTAAGCCCGTTTTAAGTGCACTTTCACCTTAAGTACAAATTGTGGAATCAAATAGCTCCTTCCCAGGGAAGCACACCAATGTGCACTAATACCTATTTCCATTTCCAAAGACTTTATACAATCATGCAACATTAGCACATGGGCACATTCAGGCTGTCATCACTCTAATTAAATCTTGGGTTGAGCACCATTTGGCCATCATCATCCCTGCTTCCTGGTTCCATCACCATGTAAAACTTTAAGACAGGAAACCCTGCTGAGCAATTATGCACCTGGGGGAAAACCCTGTTTGGGCTTTTTTTTTAACCAAACCACCAAAAAAAAAAAATAGGCACCTAATTTTAAAGCACAAAAGCTGGGGCGCCTGGGTGGCTCAGTCGTTAAGCGTCTGCCTTTGGCTCAGGTCATGATCCCGGGGTCCTGGGATCGGGATCGAGCCCCGCATCGGGCTCCCTGCTCCGCGGGAAGCCTGCTTCTCCCTCTCCCCCTCCTCCTGCTTCTGTTCCCTCTCTTGTGTTTCTCTGTCAAATATTTTTTTAAAAAAATAAAGCACAAAAGCTGTCATTTAAGTAAGAAAATGACATTATCAGCTCCACTGGGACGATAGCACAGCCTTTTCAACAAGAATTAGATCAAAGCTGATTATTTTTCAGAAAACCCAGTGATACCAAGCTTGGACTATACTACAATTCTCAAGGGCCTATAGCATTCATACCCTCTCCCAAAACTAAGTTGACTGCTCACTCCTCCAGCCTGTCCTTAGGTTCTCTGGGGGGTCCATTCCTTCTCTGCCAAGCTGTCTGCCCCTTGTTTTTTCCCCTCTATATTCTGAATGCCCCTGGTCTGAATACCCCGCTCTGACTAGGGGGAGTACAGGACGCAAAGACTGTTTCCTAACTGTGTGACCAAGGACCACTACACTGCTTTGGATTGGGGATCTATGAGTAAAAATGACTAACATGCTGTTTGCACTAGTTGCCTCCCTATCCCCAGACAAGAGTAGGCAGGGTGCCATCAAAAAAAAATAAAAATAAAAATAAAAAAATACTGTTTAAGAGTGCAGGATCACAAACCTGGAAGGTACACGAGGTAGAGTCCTTAAATATCTGAGTTACGTAGTCTGATGTTCTAATTTTATAGATGAGAATACTAGGGGTAAGTTCAGAGATGCAATGTAACCTGCCAAAGGCTATGCAGCTGTCCCAGAAGCGAAAACTTAGAATCATACTCCAAACACTTTCCTCTATATCCCAACCACAACAAAAACCCAAGATTAAGGTTAAGGAAAATTTGTAAGTAAATTAAGTAAACTACGTAAGCAGACAGGAAGTCTTCAGGATCGCTCCAGATTTTGAGACAGAATAAAGGCAATGTGTACAAGGAGAAATTGTTACTCAGTTAACAGATGACAAGTAAGTATCAAGATCTTTATTCTCAGACCTAATGTTCAATCTGTGACTGCAGATAACATGTCACTATTTTGAGAACACCTCCATTCTTTGCAAGTCTTCAGCCACAAGGTTACACCTTATTCTCACCATAACAAGATAAATGAATCAGATTGAAAGAGGATTAAGGAGATACACTGAAGATAAAAGCAAAAGGGAACAAACATTTTACAAGCTTATCATCCCAGTTACCCCAAAGGTTAAGTTTCAGATTTACAAGAGTAATGACAGAACCATATGCTTTCAGTGAAAATCAACACAAGTTAGATCTTTTAAAAAAAAAAAAAAAAGAGAGAGAGAGGGCAGGGGATCAATTCAGAAATACTAAGTCAGGCAAGCATGCAAACTTCAGAGTATAAAAAATGCAAGGCCTGGTTGTCCAAACAAACATATCCCTCAGAAGGTGGATTTGAAGATGCTAAACAGAACCAAAAGCTGAAAGGGACACTTATCTGAATTAACAGACCAATTCCCTCATTTTTTAAGTGAGAAAAGAGGGCAGACAATAATTGGTGAAGCTCACATGGCTAGATTAGGGATGTACATAGATCTAATTCCCGGTGCTATTTGCAACTACATATATCTAAAATACAAGGAGATAAATATCCAGAACACATTAAGCCCACCGATTTAAAACTAAACATTTCAAGACAAATACACAGGGAGGGGGTGAATTAATACAACACAGCAGCACATCTCACATATTTAAGAGATTAAATGGAAAAAAATAATCTCTCAAAGATTTTAATGCTGTTTTGATAGTTTCCATCCAATTCTTTTATGTAGAGCAAATGTACTAGCTTAAAAAAACGTGCATTCTTCAGCTTTCTCCTATACTTTTTCTGCCTATCTTTCAAAACTAAGCACTGAGTATTTTCAACCTAAGTAATGTGATTTTATATGTACACACTTTAATTGCACGTTTTAGGAATAAAATAAATCCATGATTATTTTGTAACTCATAGTGTATTTATAAAATGAAAAGTTTTCTATCAAAATACACTTTTCACTGGGAAAAATAAATAAAACAGACGAATGGATCTACACAAAGTAAAAATTAACTTTGGTAGATTTCAGTGTAGGACAGTCCATAACAAGCCTATTTGCCCTTTTTCCCCCAGAGCTGCTCATCTTCCGACTTAATATTTTAAAAATATTTTTAATTGAGATTATGTTGACATTTTCTCATTCCACATCATCTTCAGCCAAGCTCTGAGCACTTACAATTCTCTGAAAGAGAAAAAAAAAATTTAATTTTTAAAATCCTTTGTAGGAGGCAAGAATATCCAATGGAAAAAGACAGTCTCTTCAATAAATGGTGTTGGGAAAACCGTACAACTACATGCAAAAGAATGAAACAGGACCACTTCATTACACCATGCACAAAAATAAACTCAAACTGGATTAAAGACCTAAACGTGAGACCTGACACCATAAGACTCCTAGAAGAAGACAGGCAGTAATCTTCTTAGACACTGGCCTTAACATTTTTCTAGGTACATCTCCTCAGGCAAGGGAAACAAAAGCAAAAATAAACTATTGGGACTACACCAAAATAGAAAGCTCTTACAGGGCAAAGCAAACCAACAAAATAAAAAAGCAACCTAATGAATTGGAGGACATCTGTAAATGATATATCTAATAAGGGGTTAACATCCAAAATATAAAAAGAACTCATACAACTCAACATAAGGAAAAAAAACTAATAATCCAATTAAAAATGGGCAGAGGACCTAAACAGACGTTTTCCCAACAGACACATGCAAAGATGCTCAACACCATTAATCATCAAGGAAATGCAAATCAAAACCACAATGAGATATCGCCTCACACATGTCAGAATGCCCAGAATCATAAAGACAAGAAATAACAAGTGTTGGCGAGGATGTGGCAAAAAAGGAACACTCGTGCACTGTTGGTGGGAATGCAAACTGGTGCAGCCAACTGTGGAAAACAGCAGGAAGGTTCCTCAAAAAATTAAAAAATAGGAATACCATATGATCCAGTAATTCCACTGCTGGTTATTTACCCAAAGAAAATCGAAAATACAGGGCGCCTGCATGGCTCAGTCGGTTAAACGTCTGCCTTCAGCTCAGGTCATGATCCCAGGGTCCTGGGATCAAGTCCCACGTTTGTATCACTCCCTGCTCAGCAGGGAACGTGCTTCTCCCTCTCTCTTTGCCCCCAGTCATGCTTGCTCGCTCTCTCTCCCCACCTCTAGTGCTCTCTCTCTCCAATAAACAAAATCTTAAAAAAAGAAAAGAAAAGAAAAGAAAAACACTAATTTAGAAAGATGTATGCACCTCTAGGTTTACTGCAGCCAAGATATGGAAGCAACATTAGTGTCCATCAACGGATGAACAGATAAAGAAGTGGTAAACATATACAATGGACTATTATTCAGCCAGAAAGAATGAGATCTTGCTATTTGCAACATGGATGGACCTAGAGGATATTATGCTAAGTGTTATTTCACTAAGATAAACACCATCTGATTTCACTTATATGTGGAATCTAAAAACCAACAAATGAACAAACAAAAAAAGGAGAGAGAGACCCACACCACAAAAGTGGTGGTTGCCAGAAGGAAGTGGGTAGGGGCAAAACGAGTGAAGGGGAGTGAGAGGTCCAGGCTTCCAGTTATGCAAGGATAAAAAGTTATGCGGATAAAAAGTACAGCATAAGGAATATAGTCAATGACCATGTAATACCACTGTATGGTCAGACAAATGGTATCAACACTTGTGGTGAGCAGACCATAATGTACAGACTTGTCAAATCAGTAAGCTGTACACCTGAAACTAATATAAAATTGTGTCAACATACTTCAATTAAAAAAAGATTTTTAAGGGAAAAAAAGTCCTTTGTATTCAAAGAATCAGATCTTGCTAAAGTTTACCCATTCTGAGATTTCAATATTTAACACTTCTAAACACTGTTATCAAAGAAAATTATGATTACACTACTGTTAGTCGCATTTCAAAATCCAAGGAGAGATACAATACTGTTTTACATGTTAATCAATTATGTAACTAAAACCAAAAAAATTCAAGGTATCTTTTCACTCCCATATAAACTAAGAATACTGATTAACACTTTACTGGTCATTCTATGCTCCTAAAATTTCCCTTTCTGGTTTGGAAAGGCTCAGTCATCATACAAGAAGGAATACAGTAACTCCAAAATTAGCATTTGAAAATATTTCCAGATAACATGGAGTAAAACTGAGTAAAAGAGGTCATTTTTATAAAGAGGAGTTCAGGTTTCATCCTGAACTCATCCACATTTCAAAAGACCTCACACCCTCAGGTCCATCTTCCAAAAGCACTACGCTATGCTGCCTTTCCAAGAGCATATAATATTAAACAGAAGATTCTGATATAGATAGACCGGGAACCATATTAGTTTAAATAAGAAGGATTAAGACCAAATCTTTGGTTTTATCAACTCTTTCCCTTAAATCTTTGGGGCCTTTATTTTCTCTCCAGTCCCTTTCCAAACTGAGTAAAGATCAGTTTTGAAGAATTAACCAATTTCAGGGGTGCCTGGGTGGCTCAGTTGGTTAAGCTACTGCCTTCAGCTCAGCTCATGATCCTGGAGTCCTGGGATCGAGCCCCACATCGGGCTCCCTACTCGGCAGGTAGTCTGCTTCTCCCTCTGACCCTCCCCCCTTCTCATGCTGTCTCTCAACTAAACAAATTTTAAAAAACCTTAAAAAAAAAAAAAAAGTAACCAATTTTAAATCACACCAACTGTGGAAATGAACACACGAATAAACAAACTATTACAAAAAATAGATTCATTTTGGTTCTTTGGAAAAAACTAAAAATGAACAGAATGCACTTTAATCAATTCTTAAGTTATGTATATTCTTTTATACAAATGGTGTGTTCAATATAGATGGGAGATGTAGTCAAATAACTCCAAGCTCAAAGCCCACCTTGGCAGATGCAGAGGCACTGGGACCTGTAGACAAGTGAGGTCAGAGGGTATCCACGATCCTTTATGATCTAATTTCAGGCTATGACATCTCGGCCCCCTCTGCCAGGCCACATAACTGAATGCATGGGCTCACAAGAGACAGAAAGCTAGTTTCAGAAAGTAGCTGAGAGTGGCCTGAATTTTGGTATTTGAATACCAAGGTCTGAGATTTCATACTATGAGACGTACGTATCCTGATCCACACGTAGGCCACAATGACTAGATCTTATGCTCACTCACTCCAATATTATTAGGAAAGAAAAATTTCAAGCACTGCTATCTCCAATTCTACTTTGATTCCAAGGAATGAATGGGTTTCATAATTTCATCATATTCACTAGTTTTTAAATGTCAATGTCCCTAAAACATTTAATTCTCAGATTCTACTTTTTTAACATTTCAAATCCTTACCTGACTAATCGTTGGAAGCTTGGTCAGAAGCATCTGGAACACGGGTGGTGGAAGAGTTTGCTGTAACACCTGGAGCAACTGCTGTGGCTGTCCACACACAGCAATTGCATTTGTCAGATGGTCTACACCTTTCTCATATTCACCTGAAAGATTTCCGTAAAAATAACACGTGACCCGAAAAGCCTTTGCCTTTGTCAAAAATTCAACTCTAAAGCCTTCACTGTATCTCCAAGTGATATTGATCAAAAACATCACACAAGTAAAAACCTGGAAATAATCTACAGTACATTCCTAAAACTGAGTATTATGAGAGCATTAATAAAAATTAATCAGATCACAGGTACTGATATGAAAGTGTCTTCAAAACACATACAAGGGAGAAATTGAAGTCCAAGTATGGACTTCGGAAATGAAATGTCCAAGTATTTTACTATTTATAAACTTAGAATACTTCTGAAAGATTATATAAGAAATTGCTAATTATGGGGTGCTTGGGTGGCTTAGTCAATTAAGTGTCTGCCTTCGGCTCAGGTCATGATCTCACAGTCCTGGTTCGAGTCCCACATCGGGCTCTCTGCTCATCGGGGAGCCTGCTTCTCCCTCTGCCTGCCACTCCTCCTGCTTCTGCTCGTGTACACTCTCTCATTCTGTGTCAAATATATAAAATCTTAAAAAAAAAAAACGAAATTGCTAACTATGGAACACTACTTTTCTGAGAAGAACTGGAAAACTGGGGACTAAGGTGGAAAGGAGGCCCAAATTCACTTTAGATTAATCCCTTATACTATTCTGAATGTTATCACATGCAAATTCAAAAAAGAAAAAAAAAACCTTTTTAAGAAAGCAATGCTAGTAGGAAAAAGTCACACTAATGAAATGGCAAGAAGCAAGTTAACAAAATAGCGATTATCAGTGAGTGGTAGGATTTTCTTTTATTTTATCCTACAGTGGACACCAAGTCTTCCAACCCTGAATAAGAACGTGACCGTATAAGGGACTGAAGAATGGTATATGAAGAAGAGGCATTGCTTGCTGTAACAAAAATCTAAGGACTGAGGTATTCAGACTGAAGAAAGCAGAACTCTACAAGGAATTAAAAATGGAAAATACAAAAGACTTAGTTCTTCTGCACGGGCTTGGACCTCCATTGGGGGGACACGATGGCTCCACTGACTTGGAAATTAAGATGCCACTTGGCCACTGAATCCTCGTACCACTGAATTTACAGGCAGTATAGGCGATTACAACACTGTTGCCTAGGGATATTAATTCTGATTAAATGGAAACAGAGCTGCTTCTGGATGGTTATGTGTAGAACACAGGATCCCAAGACACCACCTAACATTGCTAAATACACTGGAAACAGTTAATGAACCACCAAAGCAACTCATTGCAGTTTCCGCTCTGCACATGCAGACTTGAGCCCCTTCACATCATCCTGAGATGAGATCTGGCTCAGTTAAAAGAATTATGCTTATGGGGCTCTGGGTGGCTCAGTCGTTAAGTGTCTGCCTTCAGCTCAGGTCATGATCTCAGGGTCCTGGGATCGAGCCCCACATCGGGCTTCCTGCTCAGCCGGGAGCCTGCTTCTCCCTCTCCCACTCCCCCTGCTTGTGTTCCTGCTCTCGCTGTGTCTCTGTCAGATAAATAAATAATCTTAAAAAAAAAAAAAAAGAATTATGCTTATGGAAGACCCTCAGATGGAGGAGACCGCCAACCAATGAAGTTCACTGCCTAAATCACTCATGCTTTCACATGACTTACTCTGATGTTGACTTTTTCCCTAAATCTAACCACCTCAGGTTCGGTTGGTAGTTTTCACCAGAAGAAAAGCAGCTTGGCAGAGTTAAGTAACCCTCTGGGCAGTGCGGAGCTAAAGTGTGGAACATGAGCTTGGGAAAAAGAGTAACTCTTGTCTGTCCTTCCCTGACCTTCCTCCCAGCCACCATGAGTTATTGTCCTTCTCAATCTGGAGCTGACAGCTCAAGTCAACAGATGGCCACAATGCACAGATCTCCAAGACAATCCAAACAGAAGTTATTATGAGTGTACTTTTTTCTAATATGTTCGACTGTGAGTAAAATAATTTAAAATAGTGATTCTTGGGGTGCCAGGGTGGCTCAGTCAGTTAAGCATCTGCCTTCGGCTCAGGTCACAATCCCAGGGTCCTGGGATCAAGCCCCACACCAGGCTCCCTGCTCAGCAAGAAGTCTGCTTCTCCCTCTCCCCATGCCCTGCTTGCTCTCCCTCTCTTCCAAATAAATAAAATCTTAAAACAAATAAATTAATTAAAAGTGTTTCTATTTTGAAAGAAAATTTTGATAGTGTCAAATAGACCTCTTTATTTATGAGCATAAAATATTTTGAGAATGTTTGCATGAAATGAAATACTACAACCTGTATCTTCGACACAGACATCCCTATATATGCAGCTTTCTTTTCAAATATTAAAGTAACAGAGTCTCTCAAACAAGGTCTATGAAGATTTAAAAGTGCTTTACTATTACCCCATGATTAAACCTCATGTTTCTTATTGTTATGGGGTAAAAAGGCCAAAATTGTTTTCTAGTAAGGCATTTCCATTTTTATTTATAAATATTATCAGCCTACAATGCCATCCAAATAAGATAATTATTTCCTAAAGAAAAAAGCAAAGCAAGAAATTACTGGGAAGGGGGAGACATGACAAAAAGTAACATGTCACCACCACCTCAAACCTTTAATCCTTTCCATAAAAACAAAAAACCACAAACGACCTACATCATGTATTTCCATACTATCTAAATCTATGATACAGCAATGAGCATAAGAAAATTTGACACCTAGTATTGTTTTTATTAATGACAGTAAATACTTCAAAGTTACTTCTGAAATAAAAGCTAATTTGGGTGGTGCAGTCAGTTAAGCATCAGACTCCCGATTTCAGCTCTGGTCATGGTCTCAGGGTCCTGAGATGGAGCCTGACGGCTCTGCATTGGGGCATGGAGCCTGCTTTAAGATTTTTTTCTCTCCCTCTCCTTCTGCCCCTTCTCCTACCCCCAGAGTCCCCTGCGTACACACACTGTCTCAATAAATAAATCTTTTAAAAATAAATAAAAGCTGGGGCACCTGGGTGGCTCAGTCCATTGAACATCTACCTATGGCACAGGTCATGATCTCAGGGTCCTGGAATTGAGCCCCACATCAGGCTCCTTGCGCAGCGGGGAGTCTGCTTCTCCCTCTCCCTCTGCCCTGATCACTCCCCCTGCCCTGATCACTCCCCCTGCTTGTGTGCTCTGTCAAATAAATAAAAATCTTAAAAAAAAATAAATAAAAGCTAACTTGTCACTAAAAATTTATAAATACATTTAAGACTACATTACTGAATTATAGTTCTCAAATATGTTAGTTTGATCATTTTAACTTAATAGTAATGTTTTAAAAAAAGAACCTTAATCCCTAATTGAATATGTAAAGCACAAAGCCTAAACTCTAGATCAGATTCAGATCACTGGCTGGTCCTGAAATCAAGCACCATGAACTCACTGTGTGACCCTGACAGGTAAATTAACCTTCTCTGGGACTTGTATTAGCCATTCCTTCCTATAAATATTAGAAAAGACCTGAAGATTAGATGAAAAAGTAGTATATGCCTAGATCACATTCCTTCAGTTACTATTTACATATTGCAGAGAGAGACCAAGGCAAGGCTCCACCTCAGGACCCCAAGGTCATGACCTGAACCAAAATCAAGAGTCAGACACTTAACCAACTGAGCCACCCAGGTGCCCCTAGAGCCAGTCTTAAATGAAATAATTTTCCCATTAGTAAATGACTTGTCTGGAAATATTTGGAGTAACTTTTTTTTTTTAAAGATTTTATTTATTTATTTGACAGAGAGAGACACAGTGAGAGCAGGAACATAAGCAGCGGGAGTGGGAGAGGGAGAAGCAGGCTTCCCACAGAGCAGGGAGCCCGATGCGGGGCTTGATCCCAGGACCCTGGGATCGTGACCTGAGCCGAAGGCAGACGCTTAACGACTGAGCCACCCAGGCATCGTTAAATTTTTAACGTTTTTAAAAGCTGCTACACTACACCAAAAAAAGCCCCTTATCACCATAAATTTATATTTACTGTGAAGAATTCTAATTTCCTAATCTTTTAATGACTTACCTTGGGCTAGCAACTCTTCACCAAGCTGTATTTCTTCAAGGAAGAATTTCTGAACAGCCTCAGCATCTTTAAGGTCAGGTAACTGTTTGGAAATACAGTATTTAATAACTGATACCAAAATTATGCTGGGAACATAACCAACACACAGAAGATCATGCCACTAAAAACAAAACAACAAAAAACTAACTCATTATAAAAAATGACAAGAAGAAATCTACTCTTCAATACTTACAAGCATGAATTTAGTATCTACATTTAAATGAATACAAGAAAAAAATACTTATTGATCAAACTGATACCAGAACAGTTCCCAGAAGGCTATACATCAAACCTAAAGTAAAAAATGAAGAATACAATTCTCTATCATAAAATATGCACTTTACTATTTATACTATTTTGATTACCATTTTTATATTTTTATGTAACTATCAACTTTCTTCTGATCCAGTATTTTGTATAGATTTTACTGCATCTAAAAGATTATTTTTAAATGGTAATAGAATATTCCATTGAGAAATGATTGCTTAATCATGATCTATTTGTTGCACATGAACTACTTCTAAATTTTTTTTGCTATTACAAAGCAGCTTTATTCAAGTTTGCATTTCTTGTTTTTGTTTCATAGTTTGTTACATATTACCAGACTATGATAATATATAATGCCATCAGCTGTATGACTTATTCAAAAACATAAACCTACTATTAAAAAATCCTATTCTTTTTAAAAACCTAGACTTCTATTAATGGAAGTTTTTGGTTCCTGATTAATATTATATACACTCTCATTAACAACACAGATGCAAAAATTTAAATTTCTGAAAGTAGAGGCATCTGTCATCAACTATCTCAGCACAGGCAAGAATTTGATTATTCTTGAATCTGAAAATACACACTGATGCATGTCTATATCTACCTTCCATGTCCTTAGAAAGAAAAGGCTACTGAAACACTACAAACATGTATTTCAGAAAGGTAGTTTAGACATAAGAGAACAAAGTGGTTGACTTAGTTTCACTTAACTATTACTGTGTCCAGTCACTTAGCTGTGTTAATTACCTGATTGTTTCAAAATAACAAAATGTAACATTTTCTGATTTAATTTTTCTTTGCCTCAACTTGCTTTAAAAAGAACCATTACTGATCCTGTAGTCCAAGCCCTGGGAATCCAGACAATGGAACTAATTTTAATAAAAAAGAAAAGCTATACGTGCAATGATTAACATTTACTTACTTTACTTACACACATCACAGAACATTTTTTTTATCAAGCAGAAAAACCTATGTAGTCATTAAAAATAATCATGAACACAGGATCGATGAAGAGAAAAAAAAAGATTTTTATCTACATGTACATATAACATCAAGGTAAAAAATTTGCCATGTGGTAGGGATTCTGGATCAGTGGGTATGAATAATCCTGTATAACTTTTGAAACAAACAGCATGTGGTTCTTTTAAAAGAAGCTGAAAGAAGGAAAATTAATGTTTTATTGTATTATTTTGAAGCAGCTGAGTGAGAAAGCTTGAACCGTTTGGTAGAACTGTCTTCTGGAGACTGCTTATTTCTCCTTAAATGTTGCTCATGTAATAAGCTGTCTGCTATTTGGGCCAACAAGGGGGAAATAATGATGGACCAGACAATCTGCAGTTGAACTGAATTAACTATTCCAAAAAAAAAAAAAACAAAAACAAATTATATTTTAAAATAGAAAATCAATGCCTGGTATCAACTAGCTTTCTCAAAACACATCTGAAGTAGCTTTTAAAATCGTTATTTCTATAACATATATAAATACAATATAAACAAAAAAAAAAACAGATTACCTTGCAAAGTCCAGCTCTCTCCTTGGCAAGCTTTTGTTTCTTTCTTCCTGCAAGAAATGGAGTATTTTCATTTTACGATTATTAAAATGGGAATCAAAAGAAGTCAAACTGCTGTGGCAGTCATTCATTCTATTTGCAAAACATCCCAGGGTAGGGCTCTCCTATTCTCTTATCTCCTTGTGATTTGTCAGGGTCTGAGTTCTGGTCAATGAGCCATGGACAATACGACATTTCTGGGCAAGAGCTTTTTCCTTCCCTCTGGGACACCAAGATCAGCAATTTTGAAGATGGAGACAATTCTAACAGGTGATTAATTGCCATAAGCACAGCAAGCAGCACCCCCCCCCGCCCCCAGCTACACAGGACATGAAACACAAGCAAGAATTAAACCACTGCTGTTAGAAAGTTTTATTACCGAAATATAACAGATTCAATCTTTTACTGAAAGCTGAAAGCTATCTGACATTCTTAAATGAGAAAAAAGGGGTAGGAGGACAGTATTCAGAAATGCACCGCAGGGGCACCTGGGTGGCGCAGTCATTACGCGTCTGCCTGCCTTCGGCTCAGGTCATGATCCCAGGGTCCTGGGATTGAGCCCTGCATCGGGCTCCCTGCTCAGCGGGAAGCCTGCTTCTCCCTCCCCCACTCCCCCTGCTTTGTTCCCTCTCTCGCTGTGTTGTGTCTGTCAACTAAATAAATAAAATCTTCAAAAATTTTTAAAAAACTGCACGGCAAAATTCTTAACTACTGCTGGCTGGTTAAGAAAAAAGCCCTCTGGGGCTCGGCGCCTGGGTGGCTCAGATGATTAAGCGTCTGCCTTTGGCTCCAGTTATGATCCCAGGGTCCTGGGATCGAGTCCCGCAACAGGCTCCCTGCTCCTTGGGAGCCTGCTTTTCTCTGCCTCTCTCTCTCTCATGAAGAAATAAATAAAATCTTTAAAAAAAAGAAAAAACCCTCTGCCTACACTCTGTTTTTTTGTCTTGTTTTTGATTCGAAAAAGCAACACTACATATCTCAGAAGTGATGTTTAAAATCTTAAAACCCTTAAGCCAAATCAATAAAGGACACTAACAATATTTTAAATTGCTATAGGGGCACCTGGGTGGCTCAGTTAAGCTTCTGACTCTTGGTTTTGGCTCAGGGCATGATCTCAGGGTCACTGGATGGCCTGCCTTGGGCTTTGCACTCAGTGCAGTCGGCTTGTCCCTTTCCCTCCACCTCCGGTTCCTCCCCCCCCCCCACAGGCTGAGCTGTTCTCTTTCTCAAATAAATAAAACCTTAAAAACTTTCCAAAAAGTAAAAAATAAATTGCTATTTAATGATATACTCCATGTGAAAGGGTGTTAGCACAGGGGAAGCACAAGCTTGTTTTATATCCCAGCTCTTCTTAGTGTCAGTGTGACCTTGGGCAAGTTGAGAGTAACCTGTACCTCACTTTCCTCTTATGTAAAACTGGCCGAAGAATGATACATGCTTCACAGAGTTGTTGTGAAGATTAAATGAGTTAACGCATGTAAAGTATTTTTTAACAGTGTCTGATTTATAATGTACCGTATGAGGAGTTGGTAATGAACTACTTCAGCAAGCACCTGGTATTGAGATAGTTCACTACTAGCAACTCAGCTAAGGAGTTGTGCTATGCTAAGTATCTAAAGTTTCCCAAGTCGTAACACGGAAACTGTGGCATAGTTAAAAAGGTTAAGGCTCTAATACTTATTACCTGGATGATCTCTGACAAATCTCTTAAGCTCTCTAAAGATAAGGCATGTTTAACTACCACTGTGAGAAACAAAAGCTTCATAAAACAAGCAAATGTCCTCTGAAAACCTTAAAGTGTTCTACAAATTCAAGTCTCAATCAATGCATGACTAGAGACAGTGACCTGTTTACCTAACTGCAGTGAGATGGGTTAATGTACTGTGGTCCAGGAAACTTCTTATCTACCCTAACAAACTGGGTTTAACCACACCCAAACTTCTTGCCAACTCCAACCCCCAAAACACCTCAAGTGCTACAACTCTAAGGCTTAAATACAATTCTAGCAGTTTCAACCACAAAAAAATACGTTAAATAAGCTGATCTTATACATAAATTTGAAGACTGCCTATTTTTCTAACAAACTACCTTTCCTAGGTGCTCATCTTCGGGCAACTAACTGTAGGGAAACAGAACCATAACATTCTACTCTCAATTTGTTTAAGGTTTTCATTTGGCCATTCTTAGGCAGAAAATAATGAATGCTACCATACTAGGTTAACAAATTACTGAATTTCACTAGTGCCAGAAGGAGACTACTAAAACTCTGGACATGGACGACTTCACAGAAGCAGCAGACATGAAGATAAAGGAACACTGAGATGTTAAGATTAAGCACCCCGTGGGGCGCCTGGGTGGCTCAGTCGCTAAGCGTCTACCTTCAGCTCAGGTCATGGTCCCAGGGTCCTGGGATCGAGCCCCGCATCGGGCTCCCTGCTCTGCGGGGAGCCTGCTTCTCCCACTCCCCCTGCTTGTGTTCCCTCTCTCGCTGTCTCTCCATCAAATAAATAAAAAAAATCTTAAAAAAAAAAAAAAAAAAGATTAAGCACCCAGTAAGTTTTAGATGTTACAGGGTCAGACACTATTCTTAAGGTTATTAATTTGCTTACTTGATCCTCATAGTAACACTAAAATTAGTACTATCATGATCTCCATTTTACAGACCAGAACATTTACCAAGGTCACAACTAATTAAGTGGTAGAGGGGCAATTCAAAGCCAAGCAGCCGAATTTCAGAACATGTGTCCTCAAACATTATTCTGTATTGCCACTGCACGCTGTAGAGAAGCTGTAAGAGTGTGGACAATACTGACTCTGTCTTTGGCCTTCCGTCTTGTTCCTGCGTGCTGGATGACCTCTCTTGGGGCTGTATGTTCCAGGTCCCTTGGAGATTCCTGTACTTACCTTAGAGAGGCCCAAGCCCACAACTGGGGTAGGCTTTCTTTGGCCTCCCATGAATCTGTGAGAAATAACAGTCTCTCTCCTTCCTGATGCACAGGTAGTGCCACAATATCTAATAAAAGGTTAGCTGTCATTTAGGTGCGTGCAAATCCTTTGATCCTGCAACAATGCTCTTCTGCTAGTGCCCTCACTCTAGAAAATCTGTGGACCAAGGTCTGGACTTTGTGGAGAATATCTGTGCAGCTGAATCATCATTTGCCCACTCCCCTGTCAGTAAGTTACGCTATGTAAAACTGTAAACTGTATGGAGTCACCTGCTTCATTTTCCAGTCTCAAAGTGCCTTTTCAGTTTGGGAAATTACTTCACTATCCCTCTGCTACCTTCTAACAGAAGTGAAGACATTCCCATAAAAATAAAAGGCACCTCAGAAATGAACACGGCAAGTTTGTGGAATAAACAGACAAATACAGTTTGCTAAACCAGACCTATGGAAAATGACAATAATTATGAAACCCAATAGAGAGAAACTCAGTTTCCATTACTATCCAATCTTAAGAGGTGTTTTTTTTTTTTAATGTGGTGGGTGGAGAGTGACCAAATTTTAAGAGTGATTAGTTGCTTTAAATTTCTAGCATTAAGATTAAAATTCTAGCTTTAGTTTCATAAGACACTTTGTTACCTTATCAGTATATTATACTATCTCTGTGATAAAGTGAAAGATGGTAACAAACTGAAAAATCATGGAGTTACACAACATTCAATGAGCAAAATTAAACCCTGACTCAGTTTTTACTAGAAATCAGTCCCAAGTGCTACTGTGTAAACCTAACAAGTTAAAACAGACTTTGCCTACTTTGAAAAATATACATAAAACATGAACTTACAGACTGCAGAATTACTCTGAATACAAGTTTTACTTCCTAAAGAAAACGTCAAATAATTATATTCATAAACAATCTATAGCATCCATCAATTACCATGTGTCAGGGACTTTATACTAAACTCCCTATGTATTATAACATTTTACAAAAGAGGAAAATGAGGGGCGCCTGGGTGGCTCAACTGTTAAGCGTCTGCCTTCGGCTCAGGTCACGATCCCAGGGTCCTGGGATCGAGCCCCACATCGGGCTCCCTGCTCGGCGGGAAGCCTGCTTCTCCCTCTCCCACTCCCCCTGCTTGTGTTCCCTCTCTCGCTGTCTCTCTTTCTGTCAAAATAAGTAAATAAAATCTTTAAAAAAAAAAAAAAAAGAGGAAAACGAAAGCTTTAAGTCGCTCACCCAGGGTTACTCAGTTATTCATTCAAGCCTGACCACTGAGATCATGAGGCCACTGCTAACGTTAGAAAAAAATTCATGGATTGAAGATGACGGAAAAGGGATTTTGAAAATAATCTCTCAATTTATCTAAAATGACAGCTTCTATGGTTTCTTCAACCAAAAACTAGTTTTCTCAAGATTTCTAACAATAGCATTGCAGTGCTTCCAAAGGAAGAAAGGATCACTCCATTCTTTGCTGCGCTCTGTAGCTATTACCACCACCGCCAGCCCTCCAGCTATTACTGAACCTACCAAAAAATGATCTCAATTTCTAGCTATGCTTACAGCCAGCATTTATGGACGGACTAGCTCTCTCTCAGGAATGGCGGTGGGCACTTCAAACAGCTCAGTCTTCACAAAAACAACCAGAGGCAGGTGACACTACCTGATTTTACGAGCTATGAAAATTAAGATTCAGAAAGTCTAAAATTATGCAGCTAATCTGTGACTCACCTGGGCCTGGAAAACTGAGTGTCTGAATCCAAAATAGCATTCTTTCCATTAGTCTATCTAACTGTAAATAAAATAAATTCTCTGTATACCTTCCTTCCTAAAACATTAGATAACTAGAATTAGATACGATATTCTAGATCGTGTAAGGTCATCTTATACCTATACCCCCAAGAGGTTAGGTCACTAGCCACGTGGGGCTCCTGAACACTTAAACTTATTTACTACTGCTTCATTAAACAGTAAGGATTAGAATAATCACGGCTTCCTGACGTCCCGGCTTTAGTAACTTACGTATCAATTTTAATGCACGTATCAATTTTAATGCTATTTTTAAAAGATTCCTTTATTCTAAAGAAATTGCACTAGTGGGGAGAGGGGCAAACGGCGGGGGGGAAGCAGACTCCCCGCTGAGCAGGGAGCCCCATGGGGGGCTCAAACTCACGACCCTGACATCATGACCTGAGCTGAAACCAAGTCGGACGCTCAACCAAACGACCCACCCAGGTGCCCCTCAATTTTAATTTCAGACATTATTTTGACTGAGCAACCTAGATAGGTACAAAATCACTTATCTCAACAAATTTACTCTTCCACCGCTGCGAATAAGGCCTCCGAAATTCAAAAACCACAATGGTTTTGGTGACATGATTTCCCTCATGTGAACCTCTCTTAAAAGATGTCGCAGGTATGAAATAAGACTGAGCCACAGGAGAAGCGCAGCCCTTTGGACTCCCCTGCAATTTCTATAGCATTCACTCATATCTTGGAAGCATTTTCAGGGAAGCTACCAAGAGGGTTTAAGAATGCAGCAACGATACACGGTTGATTTAAGGATCTGGTTTCAAGCCCCAATTCGTAAAAAACAAAGGCTTAAGAATAAAGGTTTAAAAAGGTGAACGGCAAAAAGAGCACCCCCCCACCACCGAAATTATAATACAAACGAGAGTGCGTTCAGACGACAATCGGTTGGGGAAGACAAAATGGGAAAAATCGTTCCTCCAAAATGGAGGGAATCCTGCAGGGCACCAGAGCCGCCACCTTTCTCCGGCCGGACCCGCGGCCGCCGGGCAGCCCCGATGCCCCCCACGGCCCCGCGAGTGGGCAGCGGGGAGCAGGCACGCGGAGGCGGAGGCGGCCGCGGCGGCGAAGGACAGGCGGACGGACTCTGCGGGCCCGGGGCCGAGGGGACCCACTCACGTTCTCGAAGCCTGTTCTTGAAGTTGGGGTCACTCCGTCTCTTGCGGTCAAAGTAAATGCAGTACCCGATGAAAAGAGCCCCGCAGACACCGGCGGCGATGGCGCTGTTCCGGCCCACCATCTTCCCTCGACCGAGGAGCAGGACTGAGCGCGGCGGCGTCGGGGCCCGCGAACAAGCAGTTGGCCGGGAACCCTCTGCGCGGACCACGCCGCTGCGCCCTGACGCTCGCCGCGAGGGAGGCGGAAAGGCCGAGCGCACGCACTTCCGGCCCCAGCAGCGCGAGGTCCTCCGGCACGTCCGCGGCAGTGCCTGAGCAGCGGAGCCCGCGCCGCTTCTGCGCCTGCGCGGGGGTGTAGGTGCGGCCGCCCAGGCGCCTCCGGGTGGGGTGTGCGTTGGTGTCAGGACTTGCGGGGGATCTAGCCCTTCCTCAGAAGCCGCTGAGCGTGACGTAGCGAAGGTGGTGTGTGGCCGTCGTGCACATACTCTAAAGACTTGGTAGCTGACATTCTCGTGTCAAACAAATATGGAGGGGGGTGACGACAAATGCTTCTTCCTACTCTTGTGTAATAAAGGCAACTTGTGCCTCGCTTGAATCGAACTGAGATTGCTCACAATCTGCTGTGCAGCAAGCACCATAATCTTGTGATTCAGTGTCAAAGAGTATTACAATATAGTTTCATGAGGGGTGGAAGAAAATTAAGCTGAGCGAATCCTGGAAAAAAAAAAACGGATAAAAGAGATTGGAAAACATGAGTTGTCTCACGGTCACTGGAAATGTATAGTAGTTTGGAATTTAAAAGACAGAGCCACAGGGCGCCTGGGTGGCTCAGATGGCTAAGCGTCTGCCTTCAGCTCAGGTCATGATCCCAGGGTCCTAGGATCGAGTCCTGCATCAGGCTCCCTGCTCCTTGGGAGACTGCTTCTCCCTCTGCCTCTCTCTCTCTGTCTCTCATGAATAAATAAATAAAAATAAAAAATCTTAAAAAAAAAAAAAAAGCCACGTGGGTGGCTCAGTCGGTTAAGCAAGTCAGCCTTCGCTGGGGTCATGATCCCAGGGTCCTGGGGATGGAGACCAGAATGGGGCTCCCTGCTCAGTGGGGAGTCTGCTTCTCCCTTTGCTTCTCCCCCCTGCTCATGCTTGCACTCGCTCTCGCTGAAATAAAATCTTTAAAAAAATAAATTGGTCAGAAAGGAGACATAAAATAACTACAAATTGAGAGGGGAAAGGGAAGGCACATACAAGGATGTGTAATAAAAGTGGCTGCCTCTGTCCCCAGTCTTAGGGAGGGATCCTTTTTTTTTTTTAATATATATTTTTAAAGATTTCATTTATTTGACAGAGAGAGAGATAGCGAGATTGGGAACACAAGCAGGGGGAGTGGGAGAGGGAGAAGCAGGCTCCCTGCTCAGCAGGGACTCGATCCCAGGACTCTGGGATCAGGACCTGAGATGAAGGCAGACGCTTAACGACTGAGCCACCCAGGGGCCCCAGGGAGGGCTCAGTCGAGTTTAACCCTCGACGCTAACCCTTGTCATGACAGCCATGGCTCTTACTCATGGTGAGTCCTGACAGATTATGCTAAGCAGTCCCCTGGTGACGGGGGCTGGCCAGGCGAGAAAGACCAACATTGTGATTAGAGGGTTGGGACTTTGATCTAGGTGATATCCCTGGGGAGGAAAGGAATTAGAGGGGAGGAGAGCTGGAGATTCATGGCCTACATAATGAAACCCAAATAAAAACTCAGGACGCAGAAGTGGGTGAGCCTCCCAGGTTGGCAATACTCTGTGTAGTGTCTATACCAATGTGCCATGTGCTAGGAGGGGGAGGTGTTCTGATTCCACTGGGAGAGGACAACAGAAGCTTCAAGTGTGGGACTCTCCCAGACCTCTCCCTATGTGTCTTTCCCTATGGCTGGTTTGGTTTTTATTTTTTGCTGTAATAAAATTGTAATCCTAAGCGTAACATGTTCCTGGGGCACCCGACTGGCTCAGTCAGAGGAACATGCGACTTGATCTCCCAGTGGTGAGTTCCAGTCCCATGTTGGATATAGAGATTACTTAAATAAAACTTAAAAAGACAAGTAAGTGTAGGGGCGTCTATGTGGCTCAGTAAAGCGTCTGCCTTCAGTTCCGGTCACCATCTCAGGGTCCTGGGATCAAGCCCTGTGTCAGGCTCCCTGCTCAGCGGGGGAGTCTGCTTCTCCCTTTCCCTCTGCCCTTCCCGCCCCCCCCCCCCACCACTGCCTGTGCTCTCTCAAATAAGTAAAAGCACTTTAAAAAAAAAAAGTGTAACATGCTCTTGAATTGTCTTCTATAAATTATTGAACCTGTAGTGGGAACCCCCAAACTAGTGGCCAGCTGGTTATGAGTGACCTGGAGACACCCCCCCCAAATTTTTATCTGGGGTCTGAAGGCAGTCTTGTAGGAAGCTGTGCTCTCTCTGTGCTCTTAACCTGTGAAGTCTGGCCTAACTCTGGGTAGCTGGTGTCAGAGGTTATTACAAGGGTACTTGCCGAAACCTTTAGCTGGAGGCTCTAACTAGTCCAGGAGTCCGGGAAAGCCCTTCTGCTTAAGTGATGATGAACTTGAGACCCTTTGGAAGACTGGAAATTGGACCAAAGGTATGTATGCTTTTGCCTGGACTGGGGTGGAGGAGGGAGAGGAGTGTGGAGATGCATTATGTACCAAAGCAAATAATTGAGATTTACACAGAATAACACAGAAAGCTTCTCCTTATGCACTGCAAACATTCTCATTCTTCTAGTTCTAAAACGTTGCCAGTGAACCTCAGCTGTTAGAAGTAGATCCTGAGCCGCAGGTGTGTTGGAGCAAAAGAGACTTGTCCAAGGCCACACAGATGACATGAGGCCTAGCACTCCACTCTCTTGAAAACTTGAACAGACTACATGGCCATTAGATTAAGACTCCTAGGGGCACCTGGGTGGCTCAGTTGGTTAAGCATCTGCCTTCGGCATGGGTCATGATCTCGGGATCCTGGGATCAAGCCCAGCATCAGGCTCCCTGTTCAGCAAGGAGCCTGCTTCTCCCTCTGTGCCTCCCCCTGGCTCATTCTTTCTCTCCCTCTCTCTCTCACCCCCAGATAAATAAAATCTTAAGAAAAAAAAATAGATTTCAACTTCTGAATGAACAAAGAACTATCCCTGTGTTGTGCACAGTAAACATGAGGTAAATGTTCAGGTCACTCCTATGAGGTACAATATACCAGGCAACACGTTTATAGAAAGCCCAGTTACAGCAACATTTGCGTCTTTTTATCCCTTAACCACTCTACATTTTAAAACACCTGTTGTAAAACATAAGCATAGAATCCTGAAATAGAAACAGCCTGGAATCCCCACACTTGTTTGTGAGTCAAATCATTAGTGAGCTGTGGAATACCCTTAGTGGATCATAACCAGTGTTTTTAATAAAATAGAATTTAAAATATCAGAAAGCAGGGCATCTGGCTCTTGGTTTCAGCTCAGGTCACAATCTCAGGGTCCTGGGATCAAGCCCCGCATCAGGCTCCCCACTCAACAGGGAGAGTGCTTGAGATTCTCTCTCCCTCTCCCTCTGTCCCTCCCCCTGCTCACGCACTCACACGTGCTCTCTCTCAAATAAATAAATCTTTAAAAATATACTAGAAAGCAACATGTGTAGTAAGGACCAGTACACGTCAGTTAAATATATCCATGTTTGTACTGGTTCCAAAGTAAAGTTAAAGCTACTACAACAGATCGTAATAAAAAAGTATGAGAACACTGCTCTAGTCCATGTCCCTTATTTCACCAATCAAGATACTTAGATAAAGAGGTTGAGAGGCTTGTCCAACGTCATGCACACACACAGCCAGAGCTGGGTCAAGAACAAGATGCCCCTACACTCTAGTCCAGGGCTCTTTACACAAAAACCTGGAGACCAAAAGGAGCACTCTATGTTAAAGACTAAAGTTATACAAATTTATATAAATACTGTAAATTATACACAATATAATGGACACTAATATACACAAGAAAATTCTACACCATATATAGTCTCCATCTACAGTGACAGTCTATATAGGCAAAGCATCTTTATGTTAAGTTTAACTGGGAATACATGCAAAAATGCTCAAGATTATCAAGGAATAAGTATTTACTAAACTATACTTATGAAAAACTAGATTCTAAGCACCATAGGAGATGCTAAACATGAAATATCCAGTCTCTGGATATAGGAAAATAGAGCTCTGATTTCAACAATTTACATTTTAAAGAACCATTAGGTTTTCCTGGTGCTATGCCCAAAAGATTTTTTTAAATAATCAGTAATAACTCACTCAATCCCCTTATTCACCTGATACACATGGTATCATAGATTCTGCCTGCCTCAGATGAGCACCCATGGATTTCTCCCACCCCCTCCCTCCTAGGCACAGATGCAGCTTGGTAAGATTTGTGAGATGGGCAACAGCCATAGTATGAACTTGAACCCCAGGGGAATGCACTGATATTCTCTCCCCTTGTTGAACTTTATACTTCGTGACTTAATTACCATATTTTATCAGAAAATATCCTTTAAATGGGATTTTTTGAAGGACTGTTTCATTCTATTGCATGACGCTAATTTAAGAATCACAAGTTTTCCTGGGAGAGTGTTTTTTCAAATTAAAAAACAGAAATAAAAGTAGAAATCTGCTTGGACACAGTTTGCCAAGGACTTCAGTAACAAGTTTAATTACTGGTTAAGAAATCAAAGCAACATTTCATATAATATTCTTGGGTTATTACTACGCTGATGAAAGAAAATAAAAACCCAGAACTCCACTTTTCACAAGTTCAAGAGAAAGGGAAAAAAAATTAGAGGCCATTATATAACAGTGCTTAAAACCCTTTCTTCTTAGGGATTGGGATTCATATTAGATTAGTATTTCGACTCTGTCTAGGTCCAGTCAGTATTAAGGTGTGCGTGTATATAGATTTTTAAGTTACTCACTTTAGTCTCATCCCAAGTAATTCTCGAAATAACCATGTGAAGTGTTAATTACATATTTCTAACTTACACTAATATATAACCACTAACTTACACTAATACATAACCACTAAAATTCTAAGTGTTTACCCTAAGTCTAAAATCTATAAAACTATACATATATCAGAAAGCAACACGTGTAGTAAGGACCAGTGCACGTCAGTTAAATATATCATGTTTGTACTGGTCACAAAGTAAAGTTAAAAGTTAAAGCTACTACAACAGGGCGCCTGGGTGGCTCAGTTGGTTAAGCGACTGCCTTCGGCTCAGGTCATGATCCCAGAGTCCTGGGAT